ATCCACTCCTTTTTCTTTTTCTTTTTTTTTTTCTCACTCATTTCCATTCTACTCTTTTAACTCAGTCCGATAATATTCTACCTTGCGAAGAAGAGTAAAACAAAAGAGATCAAGAAGAATTATTTTCTTTTTTTTTTTTCACCATAAAATGTCTCTCCAAAGTGCAAAAGAGTACCGAACATTTGTTTCTATTTACTGAAATACGTGTGTCGTTTAACTACGTGGAAATAATTATGGTCTATTCTATAGTCTTTTCTTGTTTTTTTTTTTTTTTTTTATAGCTCGTATAATAAATAATTCTCTGATTAAAGAATATTGGATAAAAAGTAGAAGGAGAGAGAACTCAATTGGTATGTGTTCTGAATAAAAATAGAAATGTTTATAAATTACGTATAAAATATTTAAAACGAAATAATAGAAATAAGGGTGAAACATATATATTATAAAAAAAAAAATATATAAATTATTATAAATGATTTAAATAATTGTAAAATATCAAACGAGAGAGCCACGTAATGTGTTACAAATACAAAAAAAGAAATGTTTAAAAAATTACAAAAATAATATTTAAAATAAAATAATAGAAACTAGGGTAACACATATATATATATCATAAAACAAAAAAATATAAAAATTATTATAAATAATTTTAAAATAATAAACGAGAGTCACGTAATCAGAAAAAATGAACTATTGAATTAATTTATATATATATATTATAAAAAGTGTATAAATAATAATAATAAAAAGAAAGAAAATAATTTATTCACAAAATATATGAATAAAATGAAAGAAATAGGAATGAATACAAAAATAATAAAAGAATAATAAATTTAAAATAATAATTAATAATATACAAATTAAATTGAATAAAAAATTAAAAGAACGTACTTGCAACGTTTAAACAAAAAATACAAGAAAAAGGAATAGGATATTTAACGAGAAAGAAAGAGAAAAGAACAAAGTGGAAAGGGAAATCACAAAGGGACAATATGTCTTCGAGGGTAGTGGGGAAGAGGGTTGAAAAGCTGCTAGACCAGCAAAGACGATTTCACATCTTCAAGCGATCGCGACATTTTTGGATCTAGGGCATCTTTCAAGTATCTTGGCCTACACCTACACCTAGTTACATAAAAACCAACACTTTTTATCAGAACTTGAAGTAACCAAAGGGTTCTCATAATTTTTTTTACAACCCAAACGTTCTTTTTTTTTTATCATAGTTTTCAAATGATAAATTCTATTTATGTTTTATAATCATCACGGTGTTTATGTTATACCAATATACACTATTAATATGTTATAAACATCTATTGTTTAATAAATAACCAATTATTTATAATGTTTTATTATTTAACATAAATTCATGTCATTAAGAAAGATTTGAATCATTTTGTATTACTTTTCTGTTGTTTTTTTTAGATTCTTCTTATTATCCATTCAATATTTTCATTCATTACAAATTATTGGTATAATTTTTTAATTAATTATAAATAACTTTTTTTATGGTTTATACTGCCATCTAACGTAGGGTGAAGGTACTTCAAACTACCGTGTAATGTAATGGGTAAAGTGTTAACACATTTTGATCGATCATGTTTTGTAAGATTACTTTGTAGTTTAAGGATTTGTTGCTAGATGGTAATACTGTCTTGTTCCTAATAATTTATTTAAAAATTTATATGTTATATATATATATATATGTGTGTATTTATATGAAGAGATAAAAGAGGATGAGATAAAAAGTTCAGTTCTATGAGAGATATGTATACGTATATTTCAATAACGCATTTTTCGCTAAACATCTAATGGAATCATCTCGTGAAATATAAGCACGAACAATGTAATATTTAAATAAAAAAAAAAAAATAAAAAAATAAACACAAATTAAAAATAATATTCGATTTTTCGTTTCCATTAATTTGCGACACAGTTTAAGTTACGCACATATACAGTAGAATTAATCTGTTTTAATTAACTGTAAAAAAGAAAAAGCAATTGCGATATATGTATATATATAGAAACGTACAATAACGATGACAATTATTATCATTATTATTATTATTATTATTATTATTATTAAAAAAAAACAAACGGATTTTATTTAAACGAGTGTTGAAAAGAAGATAAGAGCTTATGTTACATTTGTTTTTTTTTTTAAATAAAATTTACAATAAAACACGAATAAAAAAATGTATTTCTCATCGTTGCAATGAAACATAAGCCCTTTTTTATTTATAAGAAAAAAAACAAACAAACAAACAAACAAAAGGGATATTATTTTGATATTTTATGAAATTCATTCATATTCATTCGTATTTATTATACGATACTTATGACCTAATTTTTTATTATGCGTTGCACGTTTTATAAATAACATTTTGTCTCGTTATTAGTTTGATTATTATTAATTTTTAAAAAATTGGAAGAAGGACATATGTTTATTTTCTATAAGATTGCTTATATATATATAATTATTATTATAATAAACGATAAAAATCGCTTTTTTTTTTTTACACGTACTTAGTAAATTCTATCAAATGCAACATAAGCCCTTCTTCTAAATTTCCCCTTCTACATTTCAATTTAGAATTAAAAATCTAAATCTAATATGTAAAACGTAAAAAAAAAAAACATTGCTGATATAACAACAAAATATATATAATAAATTTATTTATAAACAATTTATCTATATTATAATAATAATAATAATAATAATAATAATAGTAATCTAGAAAGTATGTATAATTTCAACGACAGTTTTATTTTTGTTTTAATTATTAAAAAAAAAAAAAAAAAAAAAAAATAAAAAAATGATAAACACGAGCAACGATTGATAACTATATATATAGATAATGTACGTATAATATAAGCCATAACGTTGAATCTATGATTTCGTAATATTTAGTGATATGATTAACAACATATCGACGTATAAAGCTAATTTATATCTATTTTGATGTTATCAGCGATATTTAAATTTATTTTTATTAAATACACGTAATATATATATATATATATACCTATGTATAACTAAAATATAACGTTATATATATATAACGTAAATATCAACACATTTATCTAGCATTTAATGAACATCTATCATCTCGCATATTAAATACATTGGACTTCCATTTTTAATTTAATTGTCACCTATCGAAATTGATATTCTTATACAAGGTGCTTTCATAATATATATATATATATATATAAAATTTAATTTAAAAATGAATGAAATATAAATATAAAAATAATAAGAAAATATTTATACAAACATTTATCTTAAATTAACATTAAAACTAATCATCAGTTTCTTTTAGTTCATTTATAGTAGTATTGTTAATGTGTGTGTGTGTGTACACACGGTACATCTTAAAAGTGTTTCACATTTTTAAAACATCCAGTATATTCTTATTAAACAAATAGATTTTTATTAATGTTAAGAATTTTGTAATGTGCATTAATCAATCGTTTGATGTTCATATAAACATTTTTTTAATTATTATTTTGTTTATTTTTCATTCATTTTTAAAATGAATTTGACATATATATATATATATTATGAAACATCTTGTTTGTTACATACTACATATATTTATATACGTATATATTTATCTATTATTTAAACAAAATTACACATTTTATTACTAAATGCATTTTGTGGAAAATGGAAATATTATTTATTCTCTTTTTTTTCATTTGTTTTGTTTTGTTTTGTTTATGTTTGTTAAAAATCGTTTAAATTTGCGATATGCATCGTGGAACAATTTTTGTATTAAAATTGTTAAAATTTGTCAAGTTCAATTTTTCAAATGTTGATTACAGCTTAGACCAAGATTATTGAACACATTTTTTTAACAAATGAAATGCTTTGTTTTTTTGTTTTTTGGTATATTTTTTTCTTCTTCTTTGATTTTGAATTTTAAATGTAGAAAAAATATGTAAACGCTTAAGAAAATTTAAATGGCAGGATACATGTTTCAGTTTCTTTTGTAACCAGTCATAATTGAAAAAACATTTATTCTCGTTGGTCCTGTCAAAAAGTGTTTCTAATATATATATATGTATATATATTTATTTATTTAAGTATAATCATTGAAAAAAATAATTTCTATTGGTTAAAAAATGAAAAATAGAATAAAAATCATTTATATTAAAATATTGACATTTAAATTATAAACAGGTAAGAAGAAGAAGCATTGATTATTTCAAATATTGTGATTTAAAATGTTTATAACACGTTGACTGTCACGTGGATCATCAATGAGTGCAATTTCATTTTTATGATGGGTGACATAATAATAATCAATGATTAATTAGAAACCTATAATTAATAATTGAATTGAATTAAATTTTAATAATTAAAAGAATATATATATATAAGCTAATTAGTATGAAAAAATATTATGAATTATATAAAATATATAATATTATATTAATTATAATATAATATATAATAAATTACAAATTGAATTATATAAAATATATATAATATTATTAATTGAATTATAAAATATTTAACGAATTAAAAATTTGAATTAAACCAATATAAAAATTTAGGAATTTATATATTTTTTATTATTTATAATAATATTTGAATTAAACCAATATAATAACTTACTAAATTTATATTAATATTATTTATATTAATATTTGAATTAAACCAATATAAAAAAAAAAACCATCATAAAAATAAAATATGATATGTTATTTATATTATATTATGGACCCCATTTAAAATATCATCATTTAACATGACAGTAAACGCATTAATGATACTGATCCAATAAAAAGTAGCCATTTAACAAAAAACAAAAACAAAAAAACAAACCAAAAATTAATTTGATTAATTTCTCATCAATCTCTCATTATGATATTTTTGATTCAAATGATCAAAAAATCATATATTATACTTCTCCTTTATCATTTCTAATCGTTTTTGAATCTTCGTCATTTCAGTTTCTGTTAAAAAGAGTTGGTTAGAGGGGTAGGGGTTGGTGTTTTTTTTTTTTTTTTTTTTGATATTAATAGGTCTAAGGATTAGTTTTCTTTGTTTGGCCGTTATTCGACAGATGCTTCCAGAGACCTGTGATTAATGGTACATCCCTGAAGCTGTCAGCCTCAGGCTATGTCTGCTACGAACACATTAGATCGACGGATCTGGATTCTCCCCAAGCATTTTGCATCTTGAATCCCGTCGATGGCCTTGGTACTACGTGATGAGATGGCGTGGACGATGTGGTATTAGTGTTGTGTCTCAATGTTGTCATGGGAATACTATTGGATGATGAATTCTTTTGTGATTTTTTACCATCCGAATTTGTTTCCTCTTCAAAACTCACCTACAAAACACAAAACAATATATATATATATTATCATTTAATGATTATTATTAATATTATATTTAATATTTTTTATTATTTTTTTTTTAATAATATGGAATTCCTATTTAAAGTTATCTCCGTGGAACATTCGTAATCATCTTAATTGAAAATGATAATATTTTTTTTTTTTTGTAATTTATTCGCGAGTTTTCTTCTTTTTTTTTTTTCTTAATCAGTTAAATGAGATATTCCCTGAGTGATGAAAATGTAATTACACTAGCTTGGTATTAATTTATGAGTCGTAATATTAATGAAAATTAAAATGTTAAAGATGTGTGTGTGTTTCTTTTTTTTAATGTTTGGATGAAATGAAAAAATTTGAAATAGAACAATAAGGAAAACATAATTTAACAAAATTGATATCAATGACGCAAAATTAATATAAATGAAAATAGTTTATTAACAATATGAACAAATATCCAACTGTATATAAGTTTAATTAGAACAATACTTTTAATCATCATCCTCTCGAATTCGAAAAAATCATTACATTTTCTCTGTTCTTATTATTATTTTTTTTTTTTTTTTTTTTTTTAAATATTACAATTCATTTCTTTATTTGTAATTTTAATTTTAATTCATTACAAAACACCCAGTTCTTAATTATTTCGTATTTTTAATTA